GGAGATATATATTTCCATAATTGGGAGCATAAATTTGCTATTTTATTGGCTTGTATGAACGAATCTGGGGCTGTTCAATTATGTGCAAGATTATGCTTTCCATTTTTTTCGAACCTTATTGATATTTTGATTGGGGATGCATCTCTGTGGCGACTTAATTCATTATATAAAGAGTCAAACATGCATTACCAAAGATCGCTCTGAAAGTTTATAGCAACTAGGCATTGAATTATTGAAATGTCTTATTGATAAAGGTTCCTCAGTTTTAGTCAGTGAAACTACTATGCAAGGATAAATTGGTAATGCTTGAATTAGAAAGATCTCGTATGCGTGTTGTATCATATTTTGGCAGTTTTCATGCAACCCTCTCTCTCTCTCTCTCGTGCAATAGAGCTCCACAGTCACATGTTATCAAGCATTGCCTGCTATTGAGTTAACCAATGCTAAATCCTTCTTTCTGAACAAAGTGACGATTGATTGATTCAAAATGTTTAAAAGGTTAATAGGAAGGACTAGCTAGAAGGTAGCTCGATTGTTTCTACCCTAAGTGCATTACTGTTGTCGACAAATAAATGCAGCAGTTAAGTATGTGCAGATTGGATTGGGTTTTGGCATGATTTTTTTTTTCAACCAATAGGAAACGTTAAGTTGCTGATCATGTTCTGTTCAAAAGGCATGCATGTTTACATATAATGAGATGTTTGTTCCACATTGGCCGTAATCTTTACTTTTCTATTTGACCTTTGTTGAGAGTTCACGAAACTAAAGTGTATTTCTTCAGTTGGGAAAAGGCATGTTTTTATCTTTAAAGAGTCAAAGTTGAACTGGAACCTTCCAGGATCTTTGTGCAACCAACTTCTTATGTTTTGCAGACTTACCTATACATTTGCTTCATTCTACTAGTGGGATGACAAAATTTATGTGCCCTTCTGTGCTTGGATCTGATATGAATTTCTTTTACAGGTCAAGGGAACGAAGCACCTAGGTCTTACTACCAAGCCCAAAGGCCAGAGCCAAGGATGGCACCGGAGAGGCAAGGCAGCCATGATTCAAGGTCTCAACCTCGCGGAGAAGATATGAATATGGGGTATGAAGAGAATTTCATGACGCAGACTTTTGAAGGACTTGAGGAGAAATTCCTCGATGATCTCATGAAACTGAGCAAGGAGCAAATTGATGCGGAGGACGCGGAAATTGCTAGGCATCGGGAGGTTAGTTCAACTTAAAGTGTATCCTTACACCCTGTATTTGTTAAATTAAAAGATCTCCTTTGCTTTTTGATCTAAAAAGTCATTAGCCACTGAAGTTTAATTTTTATCTTATTTTCATATTTGACATTTGAAAGCACGAGCATATTGAATCCACTTCCAGAAATGAAATCCATGCATTGTTGCTATGTTCCCATGGCTTCTTTCCCTTTGCTTAGCCAATCTTTTTTCTGACCAAAACAAGCTGTATCCGTTGTTTCCAGAGAATAAATATGATCAATGCACAATATCAAGAACAGCTTGTTGCACTTCGAGCTCAACATGCCAGTCGGAGAGATGAGTTTCTTCGACGAGAATCTCATTCCAGACAACAACAATACCAGCAGGCTTCAATGGACCACTATCCTAGCAGTGGCCATGGTGATCCTCAAGGGTACAGTACGGGGACTCCTCCAGCTAGAGATCCACAGCGACTTTACAATGCTGATAATTATGATTCTCATAGAGAGCGTGCACGATTTCTTGGTAGTGGCAGGAACGATGATTTTGAGCATAGAGGTCAGTACCCTGGTGGCCGGCTATATGATACTGGTTCACGTTATTATTGAAGTGTAGCAGCTCATGATTTCTGAATCAGTGGATAGAGATGTAAGTGCAAAGCTGATGTTGCCTTGTCATCTGGTCATCTATTTCTCTAGTTGTGTGGTTTCCAGCCATTTGTATCAAGGCCAAGTGTTAATTTTTCATGCTTGTGAGACCATTTCCCAACATAGAGAAGAGAGTGCAAAGCTGATGCGGCCTTATCATTTAGCCATCTATTTCTCTAATTGTGTGGTTTCTAACTATTTGTATCAAGGCCAAATGTTAATTTTTGATGCTTGTGAGACCATTTCCCAATACACTAACCACTCTTGCTCTATAAAATGCTAGTATTTGACATATTCTTTGATGGAGTTTCCTAACCAGAATATAAGTACTAATGTGAGTAATGTTTATGAATATGATGCTTCCTAATTAGGATTGAGGTTATACTTTGATACAGCCAAATCAAGAAAACTTGCCAAAATTTCAGCCAAAAACAAAAAGAGAAAAAATGGAACTGCAAATCTTGATTATAATATTGATTATATAACGATTAAACAATTCAACTCACTAAAAGTCCTTTTTAATTGGTTATGCTCTCCAAAATGGAAAAGCATCATCATGGTGCAGGATCAAGTAATGTTTTTGAATGTTTGCATAGACAATAACATTAAATAAAATTCAACTTATTATGTGATGTTCCTCTCTTGGAAACAAAAAGGAAGAAAAAATGTAAGGTCAAAGTAACATAAATAGATTAATAGCGCAATGAGGATATTGAGGATCCATATTTAGATTGTTCTGGGACTTCATAAATAAATAAATAAATAAATATATATATATATATATATATATATTTGCACTAAACAAATTTTTTTTATTGTCCTGCACTCTCACATTATTGGGGCAGCAGAGCATTATAAAACATGAATGACATCCTTTACTAGCTTCTTGCTTGCTCTAGCTAGCATCCAGTATTTCCATAAAAAGTAAGAGAGAAAAAAATAATGGATAAAAAAAGTAGTTTTAAAATGGATAAAATAATTTTATTTTAAAAATTGGAGTATTATATCGACACAACCCTAGCACTGAATTACCCTTAAAATGTTGCATGCTTTTTTCAGACCGTTTTATTTTCCCACTTGAAAGAGTAAAAAGCTGTTATACACTACAGAAAAAGTTAAATACAATTGATAAGAAAGATACGTTTTTCAACCAAATACGCCATGTAAAATACATAGACATTGTTTATGTGTGGATGTGTGTATATATATACACACACACATAAATAGACGTCTGTGTAATATACATTACAAAGGAGTCAGGTAGATTTTATTCTATAACAAGATGAGATGTGTGGATGTGCGATATAGGAACACATAAATAGACTTATGTATAATACACACTATAGACAAGAAAGATAGATTTCATTCTGATAAGAAAATGTTAAATACAAGTAATAAGAAAAATATATAAAATACACAAAAATTATTTGTGTGTATATATATGCACACACATACGTAAAGAGACATACGTATAATATATAATATACACTACGAAGGACTAAGGTAGATTTTATTCCATAATAAGATGAGATGCCAAACCTAGTTGGGAAGTTTTCTAGTCTACAGTTGAGTAATTTACACAATCATATAGATGGATAACTTCGCTTTCAATTGTCTACTAATGATTCAATTCCTTGATTAGAAAGTATTTTTTTTTTCTTTCTCCAAAAAGCTGTATTTCACCTCCTGGTTAATGATTCATTTCCTTGATTAGAAAGCATATTTTTCTTTCTCAAAAGAGCTGTAACTTACCTTGTGCCTATCCCCATTTTTGGATACTAGGCTCAAAATGAATAAATAAAAAAAGAGGTGTTTTTATCTTATGCCCCTATCTATACGCGTTAATACTTAGTAGGGCGCAACGAATCTTCTGTCCCATATTCTGTGCCACTCTTTGTCACACTTTTTATTATATGTTATTTCTCCTACGTAAATATCACGTTTTAGTTTTTTTTTATTTTCTTAAGATCCAATAACTATTAATTGAGTAAAATATAAATACAGTAGCTTAAAAAAAGCAATATATAATAGAAAATTAAAAAATACAGCAGAAAATTCATAAAAAATCTCATTTTTTATGCATTTTAGTTTTTTGAGTTTGTTAAAGTTTGTGTATTACTCAATTAATAGTTATTGGATCTTGAAAAAACAAAAAAGAACTAAAACGTGATGTTTATGTAGGAGAAATAGCAATATAATAAAAAATGGGACAGAGAGCGGCACAGAGTATGAGACAAAAGATCCGTTGCGTAGATAGGGATGTAATATTCAACAATAAAAAGTTAAAATTTATCAAAAATCCTCTAAATTGCATATAATTTTCATCGGGTGGAACCAATCAAAAAATGTAGTAGAATGAACTCTGAAATTCCTTTCCATATCCTGAATATAGGTTTTCTTTCTTCATAGTATTAATGAAGTAATTCTTTTTCTTACCAGTCCTATTCTTTTCATCTACACCATGGAGTAATAAAGTATTAATGAAGTAATTCTTTTCCTCCATTTGTCATCTACACCATGCAAACCTTTCAAAATGGAAAACTCCTAGAGTTATGAATGGTCTCATATGATTACACCTTGCAATTGTTGGGTATTTCTCTTCACCTAAGGTTGCCTGCCAGGCAAACAATACTTTGTGTGTTCTTGACACTGAGTATCAAAATGTGCAAAATTAGTACTTTCTAAGAGCACAATCCTCGGTGAGTTGTTCACGTGATGCGTAAATAAGTGCTGATTAATTTTTGATACTCTCGAATTTGGCACTATATATAAAGCCTATTAGTGATAAACATGATTATAGGGAGGAAATACTGCTGAGTTAGTTGCATTACTATGCCGTCTATAGTCACTAATATTTTTATGCTTTTACTAATTACTACTAATTACTGCTACCATCCTTTTGAGTCCTCTTCACAGAAAAAAGCTCCACTTGTTTCTCTGCAAATCCGCCCTTCTCTCTCTTTTTGTCTATTCGTCTGAAGTGAAGGGGGAAAAAAACAAGAACGATGGCCATTTTGCCTGCAAATCCCATCCGCCATTTCTGACCCCGTGTTTTGCTCTCTCTTTCATCAATCCATACATTGATTGATTACATACCAGATAGACGCATTGGATTTTTTTCCTCTTTCTTTAACCAGAAAGCAGAATGGAGAGTAGTAGTAGTATCATTAATAGCTCCGATGAATCCTTGGATTGTTCTTCGCATTCTCAACAACAGCAGCAAAATCAAGAGCCGCATGAACAGCTAGAAGAACAATCCATTTCTGGACATGGTGACCAGCGAGTTTATTTAGTCCCCCTCAGGTATTTCGCACGCTCACCCACTGCTCTATTTTAATTAGATGTCCCATCCTTTGGATCAATTCTTGAGTCTCTTGTTTGATTTTTGTTGTTTGAGAGGAACCTTTTATAGAAAATAGGTGAGAAACGTTTATGTGACGTGGGTTTCTGTTTAATGCTTGATTGGCAATGTAGTCTTGGTGGAATTGAGGTGAAGAATGAGAGGTTTATCCTAGGAAATGGAAAAAAATCAAACCTAGCAACTTGGGAGATTTGATCAGGAACTTTGGGCGTGTTGAATTCTAATACTAAATCAGAAAAAGGGTGCTTTACTTTCTGCTGTATTTGACTTGATTTGGTTTTGAAATTTTTTTAATGTTGTTGATTGATTGGAGTTTTGGATTATTAAAGGTAATGTGGGAGGTTTCGTGCTCTTTACGCATTCAAACATTTTGTTATCTATAATAGAATGTGGGGCAGATGCTGGCAGCAAATCAACAAGCAAAGCACAAAAATTTCTTTTACCACTTTTTTGATTTTTTTGTTTGTCTGTTTATTTGTGGCTGGTTAGTTTAGCATTTGTTAGGTTAGGGTGTTTCTTCCCATCAGGAAAGGGAAAGGAAAAAAGAATTGTGACTGTAGATGGTGAGTAATTGGCTTAGTTTGTAAATCCTAATCAGTGGTGAGTGATTGACTGAGTTTGCAAACCCTAGAACCAATGAGGTATTAAAGTACTATTTTGGGGTTGAACTGCTCTATATGTGTGTCTATATTGTTAGGTAGTTAGTGGTAGTAATGCTTTCATGTTCTGGTTCTGTGTTTAAGTGATTGAGTGTGGTTGCATGTTATAGGTGTGGAAGGAACGCGTGACTCTTCATTGTCGAATGAAAAGAAGGGAATCTTGTACACTGCATCGCCTATGCCATCATATGGAGGGCCAATGAAGCTATTCAACAATTTTTTCAGTTCTGATCTTTCATTTAACCTGAGAAAAGAGGATCATTCATTGTCACATAATCGTGGGAATGATGAAGTTGGGGTATCAGGTCGTGATTATGCTTTGGTCTCCAGTGAAATGTGGCTTCAGGCACTCAAATGGTTGGTATTGTTTCTATGTTAGTCTTACTTTATGTTCTTTTAACTCTCCAATTGTTTTCCAACATGTTGGGGGCTGAGGCACAGTTTGCATACCTTGGCATACACTTGTGAAACGAAAGCAAATATAACATCGTTAATTGTTGGCTGAGCCCACCATTGTTTACATCATTCTATGTTAGTGGTGAGCTAAGAGAGTGATGGATGATTCTGCTTACTCGAGTTCTTTAACATGCCTGTGGCCATTGAACCGTTTCTTAGATTTTGGCATACTGCTTGAGGGATATATCTGATGTTGCCAAGCTGAAACTTTGCTTCATGTCATGCATCAACTGCGTTAATCATAATGTTCTGACTAGCTTTACTTATCCTCTTCTGCCTTACTTTTTTGGGACACTTAGATTATATGACAGATCCCACTTGTAATGAAGTTTGGTTACTCTTACTACTTAATTCTTAAAACTTTTGTTGAGTTCCATCTTTGTTTTCATGGCCTTTTGAATGTAATATGTCAAATTTAGTTCGTGTGGTATTCCTTATGCGCTGTGAATGAGAATCTTTTATTTAAAGAATAAGCATTTACCTTGAGATTGTGCTTACCAGATATTTGTGTTGGTTCTCAATTTTGTACATGTTTGAATACCATGCAGTTTTCAGTCTCTATGTGTTGATTGTTTTGTCTCAATCCAGGCACAGTGACTCTAAAATTGCATCAAAGGACGGCAAAAGTTCTGCTGAAGAAGATATGTCAGATGTGTATCCTTTACAGCTCAGGCTAGTTGTTCTGCGTGAGGCTGACTCATTTGGCGTCAAGATAAGTAAAAAGGTTAGTAGCTGATTTGCTAGTTTCATATTATGGATGTTGTTCAGTGACTTGTGGATTTGAAGAGTTTACCACATCCATGGTGCTATATTTTGTCTTTGTTATTCAACCATGAGTGGCCAGCTTGTGCTTTGTGTTTTACTAGTTGTTGCACTGGTAAAAGTTTTAATAAAACTAGAGATTTGGGGAATCTTTGGTTTTCCCTCAATAAAGCAAATGGGCTTGATGGTGTATGCAATGTATTTTTGTTCACATATCAAATTGAGTCATAAAATATTGCGTCTCATGATAATGTACGGTTGGAGAGTTGGTCAGTTAGAGTTGAAAGTTTTACCATATAAGAAAGCTAAGCATGTTGTAGGTTGTCTAATTTCCTAGCTGGTACATTCTCTTCATTGATGTGCAAAAAGAAATTGTTCTCGATTACATTGTTGTTATGCTACCACCTGAAATGTTAGTTGTCATTCATGTCTTGTTTGGTGGTTCAAACTGCTTAATTTATGCTTAATGCTTAATGAATGATAGTAAATATGGGCAACAGTTAATGTAGAATTGTAGGTTAAATAATGATAACCAGTTGCCACATTGACTGTTAGTGGTCTGCTGGCACTTAATTGCTATCACAAGGGTGGTTTCAGGGTTGGCTGTTGGCTGCTTGTCCCCCCCCCTCCCCTCTCTCTCTCTCTCTCTGCATTTCTTAGAGAATTGAGCTGGGATTGAAGGCTTGCGTGTATTTTCAAAACAGTCTTACATTATCAGTTACAAGTAATCTTTGAGAAATTAAAAGAACAGTGCTTTCTTTAGTGTTTAATGTGCTTGGATTTCCATGCAAGACTAAGTCACAGTGACTTATTGCCACAGTCTTGTGCATGAGTTTTTATCCCTATCTGTGTTTCATAGACTAATAAACAAGGCATGCCAGAATGTGTATTTAGTGAAGGAAATTCTTTACTAAACAAAAGGTCATTGCTATATTCTTGTGATGGTCCTTGATTTACAGTTTGGTCTTGTGGATGAATGTAGAAACATTTGCATGTATAATCATGACAGCAGATATAGGTTGTAAATTAAATTAAGATAAGAAAGTACTAAGTGGTTTCTAAAGTTTAACAGATTATTCTTTTCTTTGAACTTCTTCTTCTGATGACACTTGAATCCAGATATAGTTGACCTTCTTTCTACTGTGTTGGATCATCTTAGAAGTTTCAAACAAGGTTGACTAGGCTCTGCAAAGAGATGTCTGAATTGTTAAATAGTTTGGAATTATGGAGAGACTGAAGAAGAGTGAATAGCAAAGTGGGTTTGGACCCCTGTTATGAGACCATATATAAAAGAAAGAGAGGAGAGGATGGGAAAAATAGAAATTGTAGCAGAGAGCACTTATCTCCACTTATGATACCTTGAAATTTCTTAAACTGAGACTGCAATGAAGGTTTGTTTTGTCTTTTGAGAACTTCCTATGAAGCCAACCAAGATTTAAGAAACTGTTTTATTTTCCCTTATGAAACTGAAAAGTTTTTGTTAACAAAATTATATGTCGTTCCTCAACATTTTTATGAAAATTTTAAAACTTGGCTCGCTAGTATGCATATTTGTTCCCAGCTATTAGCTTGTCATTGCACTGTAGTTGTGGAGATAAGCTAGAGCTTCAGTTTTGAATGAGATGTTTGTTATGGGGTAATGAACAGTGGTCTGTCTTATCTGCATAAGGTTTAGAGATGATGTATATCTGTGGTCTGCATGTGTCAGGGGAGAGAGATAGAGAGAGAATCCTTTTATAAAGTTTTCTAGTTCCATTTATTTTAAGATTTTTCTTATTTAAATGTAATTGTTCTAAATTTCATATGTTTTATTCTACTTTCTTATTTTGCTTTCAGGAAAATACTTTGGAGTGCTTTAGGAGGGCCTGCAAGATTTTCTCTGTTGAGACTGAGCTAGTGAGCATTATGGTGGAATTTAGTTTTATGCTGAATGTAGTTGCTTCTTGTGGGATTTGACATGTCTTCTTTGTGCAGTTAAGGATTTGGGACTTTTCTGGCGAGATGCTTATTTTTTTCTTGAGCGAGAAGCTTAAGATGCTAAAGGACAGTCAGCGACAGTCAGAGCAAGATGTACGTAACTCCTGGATATTTTATGGCCTTGTTTACACTTCTTTGCATTTTCATACCACCCAAACTAGGAAATTCCAAACCTGACTCAGTTATACTACTGTTTTGACTAATGAACCTCATAATTGGGTCTTTTCTCCTTTGCTTCTGTTTTTGAAGCTGCTTCAAGAAAGTGATTTTTGAAAAGCTTCTCAAAGATTCCAAGGGTTGTTTCAAAAGTTCAAAAGGCCAGAGTGTTTTCAAAGTACTTTGAGTCTAATTCTTGTAATCAACTTATTCATCTTATACAAAGCTAAAAGCAGAAGTCAAAATCAGATCTTAGCAGCTCAAAAGAGCTTTTAGCTTAAGCTATAGCAACTCGCAGCAGAGAACAGAGGGGATGGCATTGTCTAGCTATTAAGTTGCCTAAAATATTAAGCACCAGGAAATCTAAGCTTTGCATTTTAGTTTTTTGGTAGCAATCCTTCTCTCAATAAGCAGTAATAATGAGTTGAATAGCAATATTCTCAGTAAGCATCCTTTGCAGACATCTTTGTTGTATTCACTTTTTAAGCATTTTTCTTATTCTCTGCATTACTGATGCCACTGCCACGCTGAAGACATGCTGTGTTAATGTGCTGTTTCTTATGAAAGCTTAACTGATGCAAGCAGATAAGCCTGGAATTTCTTTTCCAGTGCTTTTTTTTTTTTCAATTGAGATGGATGTCGTTAGAAGGCATATTTTTCCTTGTTTGGTGTCGTTTACAAGTTCTTTTATTTCAGAGTATTAATGAGGTTTGTCTAATATGCAAATTTTGAGGGACATGTTAGTTACGTTTTAGGAACTGATCTGTGAATCCTAAAGAATGGAAAAGGGGATATCCTTTAAGTCACTGATAGAAAGTGAATAAAAGGAACTTGTTCTAATTTGCGCTATCTTACAAGGGATATGGAGAAAGTTACTCCTGTCTACGAACTTTTGCTGCGTATCACTGCATCAGGTTATTTGGTCATCCTAGTCATCTGAACAGAAGTTCAAGTTAATTTTTTCGTATAAGTAATGGGCATTATAATGTTGCACATACGGTGGTGATTTGGGGTTGCATGGTGATTTTTTTGTTTATAAAGTTACCGTATATACCATAGACTGAGGAAAGATACCTAATATTGTATTAGCTATATACTTGTAAGCCGACACACTTCTCTTTTTTCTGGATCACAATGGATCTGAGGAAAGTTTCAAGTGTTAGTGAATGTAGTGATATGCATTTTTTTTGGAGTAATCTGTGGAAGGATTAAATTCATAAATGGAAAATATAAGGAAGAACTGACTCTAGCAACTTAAGGCTTGGTCATCTGAATTACTTCTTTTAACTTGAGAAAGGATCAGCCTAGTATCCTATGTACTGAATCTCCTCAATTACTAAAAGTTACTTTCTTGTAGTTACTTTTTTTTTGCCTATTTTGTGATTGCAATTTATTATGGTTGGTGGATCTAATCAACGTATTTTATATGTTAGGAGAACTGTCATAGGTTGTTGAGCTCTAGTTTAGGCATTGGTACTTGCTCGTTGATCACCGTTTCTCAACTTTTAGTTGGTTTTAATGATACAGTTTTTTATGTAGTTATATTTCTAAATTACTATTACTTAGTGCTCTCTCTCTCTCTCTCTCTGTTTGACTGTGGTTTTCTTACATTTCCTCATCTAATTTTCCTGTACAGATGCTACTGGAGTTGCAGTTTATGGGTTATCTGATCCTGTTAGAAATCGAGGAGTGAAACGAGATGATATGACAATGCAACATTCTAATGGTGGTTCACTTATGATGAATGGTTGTACAGGAAATTTGTCGTCTAATCACTTGCAGAGCAACTCTAATATGTCTGTTGGCAGCTCATGTGAAGTTGGTACTTTAGGCTTAACAGGGTTGCAAAACCTAGGCAATACATGTTTCATGAATAGTGCCATCCAGTGCCTAGCTCACACTCCAAAGATGGTTGATTACTTCCTTGGAGATTTCAGGAGTGAAATAAATCACGATAACCCATTGGGCATGAATGTATGTTTTTGTTCTTGACTTTCTCATGCCATCACTAACTTTGTACATTTCACTTATTTCTCATGCATCAGTAAACTTTGCTTTTTTGAGCATTGGTGTCAATTATGATATTGTCATACTTTGGCTGGAAGGTCATAGTTTTAATACACAGAACAGCCTCTCTGCTTGAAGAGGCAAGGCTATGTGCACCTAGCCCTTCATGGGCCTCAAAAGATGCGAGCCTCAAGCATCATTAACCTTCTTGCAATTCCTTTTTTTTCCCCCTAGTTGGCATTTTCTTTCATGCTGGATTTTCCATTACGTATTGGCCTTGCTTGTCAACTACTACGAGCACGAACTCAATTTTATAGAATGTTTTTATTGGCAGGGTGAGATTGCCTCTGCATTTGGAGATTTATTGAAGAAATTGTGGGCCCCTGGGGCAGCTCCAGTGGCACCGAGAATATTCAAATCAAAACTTGCCATTTTGCTCCTCAATTCAGTGGTTTTAATCAGCATGACTCCCAAGTTTGTATACTTATTTTTCTTTCACTTTTATCTTCATCTCTTGTTAATGTTCTCTCGCTTCTTCCCTTTTCCTCTCTCTCTCTCTCTCGACATATTTGGTAACAAGATACATGTGATAGACAGGGCATCGTTTAGATTTATTGTGTCAAGATCTTTCTTGAGGAAACCTCTTCTTATTGACTACAGGAACTCCTTTCATTTCTTTTGGATGGACTTCATGAAGATTTGAATCGAGTGAAGTGCAAACCATATGCTGAGGTTAAAGATGGAGATGACAGGCCTGATGAAGAAGTTGCTGATGAATACTGAGGAATCATTTGGCTCGCAATGACTCTATCATTGTTGATGTCTGCCAAGTTAGTATTTTTCACATAGGGTTCCTCTGCCTCATTTTTTGTATGATATGCTACCTTGTGTTTGGTACTGGCTTATTGTGGTCTTTTAATCTTTGTTATAGTTAGTTGTCTACTCTTCATCTGTCATGAAGCCAACATAAAATAAGGCTAGTATGAGCTGTCTCAGTTCAGTAGTTCATACTATTCGGGCATTGGTCAGAACTGGTGTTTCTCTTTTGGAGGAGTTTAAAGTGGTCGGTGAACCTAATTATGATGATATCTCAGACTTAGGATGCTAAAAGTATTATGTTCTAAACATTCGGAGGAGGTCATTTGAGAATAACTTTGTCAAGGTGGTGGAATGTACAAATTTATGTTTAGAAATTCTGTTTGCTTCAATCAATTGTGATCCTTTATGGACACATATATCTAATCTCTGTTGCTGCTCCTCAATTTTTCTTTCATTTCAAGGATGGTATTGAATATTCTTGTATCTACCTGGACTTTTGGTACTCTTTTGGACTTAAAACAAGTGAAAATCTTCATAGGCTATTGTACATTGCTTGTATTGGCTGTGAAATTCTTAAGCTTTGTTGATTAAAGCTTATGAATTATGACATTGCAGGGTCAGTACAGGTCCACTTTAGTGTGTCCTATTTGCAGAAAGGTCTCTGTTACATTTGACCCATTCATGTACTTGTCACTGCCTCTGCCATCAACATCAATGCGGACAATGACAATAACAGTTATGAGAACAGATGATAGTCCAAAGCCAACCACATATACTATCACTGTTCCCAAAACTGGAAAACTTGAGGATCTTATTCAGGCATTGAGCAATGCATGTTCTTTAGGTGCTCATGAAAGCCTATTGGTGGCTGAGGTATAGTTCTGCAAAATTCTTTGAGATTAATATTTCTCCTATTTGATAATTCGTATCCAGTTAATGCTCTTCTTTCATCTGATCTCCTAATGATAATTTAGTTATGTACAGATATTCAACAATCGCATCATACGTTTTCTAGAGGAGTCAGCTAATTCACTATCGTTAATCAGAGATGAGGATCGACTGATTGCTTATCAAATGACAAAAGAAATTGATGAAGCACCATTAGTTGTTTTTACTCACCAGCAGATGGAAGAGTAAGTTATGTTGCTTCTGAATTTGAATAAAATTTTTTGTATTGTTGCATTTGAGTGGACGATTCATGCAGAGTTATGTGAATGTTCTGCAGTTGGACTATGCACCAGAGTATAACTTGGCATTTTGTTTTATCTTTTTCTATCACTTTTAAGAAAGGTTATCTGATCCTGAGCACAGACTTTTAGTAGTTAGAGATATCTATATCTATACTATATATAAAGCCTGAGGAGGTTTATGCATTGCAGTTTACTTGTTTTAATCTTTTTTGAACTACCATTTTATCCTTTCATTAGGGGTTAAATGGTTCAACCATATCAAAGAAAAATATCTTTGTTTTATTAGGCATTTTAAATTATGTTAGTAACTACCCATAATTTTAGGTTTTTAACAAAAAATATTCATGTATATTTTCTATTGGTAAAATTCTCTAGAAATTCTTTTTTTGAAGCTTAAAATCAATTTCTATGATATACTGTTTAGAAATAAATATAATTTTTATTCTATGCACACAGATAGAGTGTGCCTTGACAACTAGTGACCATTGCAATTGAAGTTTCTCTGGGAACCATAAGCCATGAGTTTCTATGTAGGATTAATTGAAAATTGTATCTACATAACTTCTTTATCTCTGCTTTCTTGTTTTTGTGCTCTATTCCAACTTTGTAAAAGTTATTATTTTGTCAGGCAATATGTCTATGGGAAGCCAACAATGGTTTGGAAGGCATTTGGAATTCCTTTGGTAGCAAGAAGTAAAGTTACTAATGGATCTGACGTTAGGAATCTTTATATGAAATTACTGCTTCCTTTCTCAATACCAAAAGAAAATTCTGTTAACATTGCAATGAGACAACAAATACTGAAAGTGAAGAAATTAAGGAAATTGAGGATGCACTTAGTCCTGATTCAAATACATGTACTCAGAATGGTGATCTACTAGATGGTGAAGCACAGTTTGACTGTGATTTTGAGTTTTACTTAGCAGATGAGCAGGGAAATGTCAGAGGTCCCCAAATAGCAATGGATGAGCCGGTGAATGCTAAGGCTATGACTGGACTGTTAAGTGTAATTGTACATTGGGCAGATAAGATGGTTGAAGAGTACAGCCAACAACTGAATTGCTCATTACCTGAAGTTTTCAAGTCAGGGTACTTAATGAAGAGACCGCAGGAATCTGTTTCTTTGTACAAATGCCTTGAAGCATTCCTGAAGGAGGAGCCTCTGGGACCTGAAGATATGTGGTTAGTGTGCTAAGCATCATCTTCTAAACATTTTTTCCGTGCTTGTTATCATCTTGCATGGCCATTGGTAATTAATTTTTGTGTCAATGCTTTGTCTAAGCGTAACACACAAGAGGTGTGTGATTTCTTACCACAGTGGACATATCAATTTTTAGGAAGCCATGATCAATTAAAGTGGAACACAATTACAATGACAAACTATTTTGGATTGTAATTATACTTTATTTTTTTGTAATTGGGACGGCTTGAACTCAAGAACTCTCAATTAACTCCCTTCGACCACCCAACCCATCCCTCCCCCTGGTTGTACTGTACTTCAAAAGCCAAATAGCTGTTCTCGTTCAAAGAAGTCATTTTCTCATTTATAAATCCTCCACTATTTGTGGTGCTTCTGAAGTCTTTGTTCCTTATTTTTTGACTTGGCTTGTTAATCCCCTGTAACCAGCCATTTTTCCAAAGGTACAAGCACTTTACTTGCCTGCATGTTAAACATTTCCCCCTTGTTTCCTTTCTTACCTTTACCTTTTAATGCAGTCAATTTAGATGCATTTGTTTGGATAAACAATTGACATATTGCTTGTTATCAGATTTCACCTTTCTTCATGCAATAGGTCTTATTCTTCTTTATCTTCAGCCTATGTCATAAACTCCTCCTTTTTCTTGCAAAAATTATCCATACTACAGTATCTTACGTGCTGCACATTATTCACGGAATCAGGTATGCCCTGTCTGCAAGAAGCATTGCCAAGCCAGCAAGAAGTTAGATCTTTGGCGACTTCCTGAGGTTCTAGTCATACATTTAAAAAGATTCTCATACAGCCGGTTTCTTAAAAACAAATTGGAGACATATGTTGACTTCCCTGTCACATCTTGATTTGTCTGCTTATATCGCTTACAAGAGTGGGGAATCTTGTAAGCTACGTGCTGTATGCTATTAGTAATCACTATGGAAGCATGGGAGGCGGTCATTACACTGCATTTGTCCATGTAAGTGGCTCTTCACTTTGACATAACTTTTAGTTCGGTGTGCTCTCTTTGGGTTTTCTTGTTTTTCCATTTTCTCTTTGTTGTTCCAAGTGAAGTTTGGAGAATTTAAAAAGAGAGTTTTCTGATTGGTACAACTTTGGAATGTATAGAGCTAAAATATGTGCTCTCAATGATGGTGCCTGGGATACTATATTTAGTATTTACTCTGCCTTTTCTTCGCTCGGCAACTCAATAATACTAACATCATTATTCTCATGTAGCATGGTGGCGGTCGGTGGTTTGACTTTGATGACAGCCATGTATTCCTATCAACGAGGACAAGATTAAATCTTCAGCTGCTTATGTTCTTTTCTACAGAAGAGTGGAAGATGAAAATAATTAGATGACAGTTTACTAACTATTGAAGCCTGACGAATCATTTTATTGGTTTGTCCTGTTTTTAAGGGTAGAATTCTTTCATCCTTGGCATTGTTTAGTTGTAGTTAGTAGCCTTGAGGAATAGACTAGAAAGAATGGCTTTGATTTAGTGAAATGCCAAGGACAATTTACATAGTGACAACTGACCTGAGAGATATAAGCTAGGGAGCTTATTTTTACAGCTATAGTCTTCTGAGATAGACGAAGATCTGTTTCTTTTGTTTTTAGAGCAGAAACAGGAAGAAGTATGTGAAAAATTGCTTTCTGCATCTTCTACAGTGTAACTTTTGTAGAACTTTTTAGACAACTGATGAGTTGATGTGTAGTAGAGGAAATTATACAAATTAAAATTTGCAGTTTTCTGGTCTGATATGCTCATCAGTTGGTTTTTGCTCTTTCTTAACTTCGTGTTCAGTTATCCCTTTCTTATTAGAATTAATTGCGCCCGTGAATTTTTTGGGGGTTTGAACTTTGCCCCCCATAACTTGTTAAATTGGCACTTTATTTCTTGTTTTGTGTTTCTTGATCAAAACACCCTCAAAATTATAGAAACTTTATTCTTTGTTCTGATATATTTACTGTTACTTCGAATCCCCTTCTCCATAAGATGTTTCAATGATCTGGAATGTGATAGAAACAGAGAAATTCATCCTAATCTGTAAGAGATTGGGGCCTGACCACCCATGTTCAACATACACGAGTAGAATATGGATTCAATTTCATAAAATGAAAAAAATGAAGGATATAATAGAAACCAATTGTTACCAAATATTTTAAATCTGGATGCATGCATGAATGATAGGCTTAGAGGGTGTAGGTTAATTTGTTTATTTGCACGTTGTAACACAATGCGGGAAGGATTAATTTCATTTTGCACCCTTGAACTTGTATCATTTTTTCTTTCACTTTGTACTCTAAACTTCAATTTTGAACGCTTTACGCCCTAAACTCTCAATCTTGGACGTTTTGCACTCTAAACTCTTAAATTTGTCTTATTTAAATCTAATCAATGGCGATTTTAGCAAAATTAATAGCATAGAAGATCTAACAAAACAATAAAAATGTGCCGAAAGTGGTCAAAAAATGTCAAAGTATCGTAGTGAAAAAAAAACAATACATTGGCATTAATAATTTTAGTGAGTGAGACCATATAAACTAATAATAATGTATTGAAAGTGAGAAAGTCGAAAAAAGCTAAGGAATCGCAGTTAAAATAAAACACTACATATCATTATTTTTCACCATTCTTTGTCTTGTTAATTTTGCGAATGTAATTATTGATTGGACTTAAATGGAACAAATATGAGAGTTTAGGATGCAAAGTATCCAAAATTAAGAGTTTAAGGTGAAAAATTTTCAAAATTGAAGTTTAAAATGTAAAGTAACAATGTGGTACAAGTTTAGAGGTGCAAAGTGGAGTTAGTCCCTGCTAGAAGCATGCAAAAAATTAGGCTTGTTTGGATGTGGTTATTTTAAAAATTTTTTTCCTACTATTATCTAAAGTCCTTTTCTAATCACATTTTATCTTACATATATCCCATTACAAAAGTGTTATATTAAATACCATTAAAAACTTCTCAAATAATCTTCTACAAATAGGTTTATCATTTTGTAAACCTTAATAGTATGTAAAAGACTGCAAATGAGCCGACTTGAGTCAATTTTTGCCTAATTGATTCGAGTTCGAGTCTAATTGATTTCAAAAATAAAATAAAAAATAATTATCATATTTTTAAAAATAGATAAAATAAATATTTCATTCTAATGGATAATAAAAGTATTGAGGACATAAATATAATTTCATAACAAATAATGAAAAAATAAAAATATATAAACTTGAGCTGGTGCGATGAGCCAACGAGCCAAGTATAGAGATGCTCGGCTCAACTCTGAGCAACTCGCTAAATCAGTTCGAGCTCGGCTCAATTTAATGTTAACCAAATTTGAGTCGAGTTTTGATCAAACCGACTGAATGTATTTAAAGTACTAATACATAGATATTTCTAAAAGAGGCCTTTGGGAGTGCTATATTTTGTTATAACAATACTTTCAGATGATAAAAGTGCTTTTGAAATGTTTGGTGAATATTGTCCTATAAATTTAGTAACAGAGTTTTTGGTGTTAAAAAAATACTTTTAGTAAAAGTTCAAATTTTGTGTTTTTAAAATAAAAATAAAACACAAAATTTAATTATTTTATTCTAATTATGAACTCAATACTGAGATAAATACATTTAAAATTTCAATACAAAAAGTGAAGTATGCATCCAAACAACATACTCAAACACTTGTGTTTTTGTTAAAAATTCTATTAGGTGAACTATTTTTAATGAGCCACACCACAACTTCAAACCGCTCTAACACACACTGCGCAAGTTCATATTTTCATATTTGCTTGTTCATGCTTTCTCTGCAATTAATATCCCCTACAAACCATGAGTTTGTTCAATTGAGGCAATTATAGTGAATCATAAGATCAATCTCACCATCGCAATGAAGTCTTCTTGCCTGGAGTGACCACATTGATCCTTACCCAGTGTGCATAACATGTGCAGCTGACCCTCCCAAGTTCTGTAATCAGTACAGTAGCAGGGACCACTTCAACCTATGATGTACTACATTCTTCTCCACCCCAACCTCCTCCTCAAGAAAACAGGAAAAACCATGGTGATGGAGGTGCACAACCATGCTTGATTGGCTTTGTGGGCAAAGATGAACAAGAAAGAAAGAATTACTAACATGAAGCTTTGATTTGAATTTGAAGTGAGTTTTGCATTGCCTCTAATTACTATGTAATTGTTTTATTATCTAAACGAAATAGTTTGAATTTTGAAGTGCAAAATGCTTTGTCTTTTACCCTAAAAAAGACATAAACATTTACTCGATTTTTCCTTATACACACAAGTTTCATCAGTGTAAAAAGATAAGAAACACGAAACCAAAAATTTAACAAAAAAGGGGGGGGGGGTGGTAACTGGTAAGATGAGAAAAAGAGAAAACAAAAGATATGCCATATCATGATCCTTTCTAAGCCATGAAAAATCTATTCCAAATTCCAGTTGAGAAAGAAAAAGTAGCTTGGAAATCTAAAGGATATCTACAGGTTGAAGTTGGCAGCCCTGGCCTACAATTTCCCTTTCATCTGAAGTGCTTTGCTGTGTGGGTGGCATCTAACTTTGTGCAGCCAGATTTGCCTTGCATGTGATATGACAACTAAGCCAGACATTTTAAAGGTAAAGTGAAGCAAGTATTAGCAGCAGCACCTTTTACACTAACTCATACTTCACTATATCACAAAACCCCAACAACATGATTTGACATTACAGATTCTACAACCTCAGCCCCATCCCAACAAACAAAAGGACAGGCAATTCTTTAAATATTCAATGAGAAAGTAATCCTAGGCCATGGTTGAGGGATTTTGCAGTTGCCAATGGCAATTCCAGGATCAGGTTTGCAGTTTAGATCAAATCATCTTAATTCGGATTGTTCATTTAATTAAATTTTTTAAAAATGTTATTTGAAAATTGACGATTCATACACACGTCACATCGTGTTAATTTGACTTCGCCATTAATTATTTTCTACCGTTACTCTCGCAGTTGTACAAAGACCACTCTAATAACACGCTTTCCGTGTTTAAAAGTAAAGTCACGTCTATATTTTTTTTTTTTTTCTAAGCAAGGGTAGGGTGAGAGGGAGAAAAAGAAAATTAAACCTAAAAATTTCTGATTTTCTACACATCCATGTCTACGTACTAATTAGGTTGTACTATTTTAATTTTCTAGATTGATTCTCTTATGAACCAATTTTTCAATATCTGATACATGCTCTTTTATGTATAAGTGGTTATTATGTGATGGATCAGAAATGACAAATGATATTATTACAACTCAACTTTCAAGAGCAATTCTTTTGATAATGGCAAGATTATGCATTTCAAGTCCAGATGCAATACGAACTTGAGAAGGGAAAAATTTTACCATTTCTTCAAAAGTTACTGTAACACAAAAATTTGAGATCTGACGTTAATATGAAACAGTAAAACAAATATATTATCGTCCGATTTATGTTATTCGAAGGAAGTATCAAACCGCATGTTCTATTTCCCTAGTGACAATATTGTACCAGGTAATGGTTTCTTCTTTTTCTTTTTGATTTTAATTGGTTTGATTAAGAAAAATCAAAAGGTATTTGATGCTCTATTTGTGTCAAGCCAAAGTTTCAACCCACTTGACCTATTTTTTTACGCTGTGTGTTACTTAATTATATTCATTATAATTGCGTAGTCGAAACATGTGAATTTATGACACCCAATATCTCTTATAAACCAAGATTATGGATTCTTAAACCAAGTTCCAAGAGTTCCAAATACAATATTCAAGCAACTTCTTAAGCGCCTAATAAATAAATAAAAAAAAAAGAAATACGGTTATGGCATAAAATTTTCCGAGTGAAGTTCGGAGACAATATAAAATTGCCACTTTCATGTCTAATTTTAAGTCATAAACTTTCATAATTATTTAGCGAACACTTTCATCTTTTCCTTGGCCCCCCTCCCCTCCCCACCCCAATTTAAGGCGGGGACACTTTTCAGTGTACTTAATTTACACCTAATGTACACGCTCGTTTGCGCCTTTATATTAATTTAGACATTTATCTAATTTAATTTCATGTTAGACAAAAAATAATAATAATAACAACTAGAACCACTAGACATACCGTAGCCAAATCCTAAACTTAATGCATCATCCGTTTTCTCCTAGAGGTTGCCATCTCCGGTGTCTGATGGATATATTTTTTACTGTTTCGATATCCAGATCCAAACAAGGCCATGTACATTTCGCAGCATGCAGTAAATAATTTAGAGAATGTTCGTATATCTGTGCCACGATCTACACCAACTCATGTGCACAGAAATCATCGTTTTCTGCAACTTCAAAGGACAAATGGGTCTCAGTCTTACATTTTCTCAACTTTTTCTGCTCAAAAAACAATTCTTTTTTTTTTTT